ATTTTCAAATAAACCTCCTGACGATCGGGCATACCTTCTGGGTATGCCCGTGAAACTCGGAGTCGGGGTTATTGCATGTCTTTTGTTTATTTATTTATTTATTTATTTATTTTAATTGTGTACAAATGCTCCGTACTGTTGAGCACTCTGTACCACACTTACGCTTTTTTTTTTTTTTTTTTTTTTTTTGTGAGGGCATTTTCGATAAGCAAATCTCACCAAAGTCTCACATCAATTTAATAATCCCCATCTTTCCAAAAACGGTCTTTGATCACATCTCAGAAAGGGTGGAAACGTCATGCCAAATACGGAGAAACACCTTAGTCGCCTTAGAGAAGATGGGCTGTCTTAACATCTTTTCACAATTACGAAAGAAACTTATGTCGACTTCGATTTTTTAAATGACACTAATGGTCCCCTCTTGATATTATAATTTTGACTAGCTGAATCATAGTTCTAAACCGCACCAAATGGCACCGTTCACTCTCTAAAATACCAATTTTTTCGGGGCCTTTAAGCGGCCCCGGAACCTCACGCCAAGGGGGGTGGGGTGGGGGGTGGGGGTGGGTGGAGGTCGGGTTCTCATCCGCAGACCCCCCCCCCCCTTCAAATAATCCTGGATCCGCCCCTGCCTTGAACCCGCTAACATAAACTGTTTTACAGAGTTCCTTGGGTGATTCCTACGCGAACAGCACAGTCCTTTTTTTTTTTGCAGAGATCACCACATCCACAAAAGTACCCAAGCTCTCTCTCTCTTGAGTTCTTTTTTTAAGTTGAAGAGGTGACAACCTTTCAATGTGCAGAACAAAATTGATTGCAAACACCAGTGATTGCGTCATTAGTGTACAAGTCCGACGAGTGACCTGCCATTCTGCCCAGTTCTGTTATAGAGGTTATACAATTCTTACCAATTTTTTTTCATTACTCAATGAGTTTAGTCCACTTTCATAACGTGAAAATTGTTTACTGGTCATTGCTACAGTCAGCTTTCTCAAACTCTTTAAGTGTAAATTCCTTTAAATAATAACATTGCGAAAGATGTGGATGGTTTTAAACACATTCTTCAATTTTTTGTGCTTTCACATCTTTCACTGCACACAGAACTGCATGGTTTAAAATGGGTCACTGCACATCGCCGGTAGGCGTGGCTACTGCTGAAAAATTGGTTGTAATGTCAGCTTGAGTAATGCCAACTCTACAAGTTTCCAATTGTCGCTATAGCAATAGGCCCTGGAGCAAGTTCGCCGTTACAAATTTGTCATCTCATAGCCTTGTCCTTCACTGTATTTCTCACCAACAGATCCCGAGCAACGAAATCAGGACACAGGTAATGTCAGGGGTAATTCGACTACTTCAACCAAAGACTTCTTCAAAATTATGTATTTTTAAAAATTCTTATACAATTGTCTTAGTGCGTTGTATTTTATGGGTCTGTTTCACCCTAAGTCAATTAACCTACTTCGGTCCCCATCTCACGTACGCACAGTACCCTTAACTATATCAGTGTAACAGGAATGTTAGTCCTAGTAGTGGGATGTACGGGATCCTGTTTGATATATCAATGCAGGTTAGGGTTGTCAGGCTCAGTATATACTGTATTTGGGACGACTGTCACCTGAAAAAGGTAACGTGAAACTGACTGCGGTTTCTAGAGGATTACCATTTCTTTCATACAAATTAGTATTATTTAGATGTAATAACAGGTGGTAGATTATAAAGGGAAAATGGTACTTTATTTCTTCTTTTACATTCTAGAGTTCGATTGACATTTAGTGATACAAGTGGTTAGTCTAGGATATGGACTCATGAAATATAGCAAAATTATCCAAATATATGTTAATATATTAGAATATTCTTTCTAAATCAGGCGCACTCCATTGGCTAACATGAAGACCTCACTGTTTTGTTCCATGTGGTACAAACTATTCCATTCCACTCCCCCATTCCAGCCATTTACAATAACAAAGCGACATCTGGGAAGCGGACTACCAGGGGACTACGTAAGGGAATTGGCCACTTTGTTCAATAGGGCCTACTCCCCGTTCGAGAATCTAGACAAATCAAAATTCCACGTGGACTTCTACTCTTCGGACTATTTGGGACTTGGGCTTAACAAGGAACTGAACCAGACACATGCAGACGCCATTCTGCGTGCTGGTATGGACCACAACGTATCCTCTATTGTTTCTCACCCACCTAACTCCCCGGTAAAAGATACAGAACTGGCCTTGGCTCGGTGGTTAAAAAGTGAAGCCGCTGTCCTCACCTACACATGTGCAACCGCAAACATCGGCGTCATAGAGATCTTACTCAAAGGTAACGATCGCCCCATCTACATGGACCATTACGCCCACATGACCTTCAAGACGGCGGTGTCCGTTGCTGAGGCCTCGTCGCGATTGAAGCTGTTTCGGCACAATGACATGGACCATCTTCGTTCTCGGATAGAAAAAGCTGGGAGCGGAGTTGTCGTCGTGGATTCGATATACAGTACTAACGGAGATGAAGCACCGATGGCAGAATTGGTAGAGTTGTGCCACCGTCTGGATTGCATCCTCGTCGTTGATGAGAGCCATGCTGTTGGGGTTGTGGGAGATGCAGGCGAGGGCCTGGTAGCCCATCTAGGGCTAGAAGACGGCGTTCATGTTAGAACGGCGTCCTTGGCTAAGGCTCTATCGTGTCAAAATGGTGTTGCTGCAAGCAGCAAGGAAGTCACAGACTGCTTCAACAACGCGACCACATTAGCCGTATTCAGCCAGAATGTACAAACCCCCAGCGCTGTCAAAGTCAAAAAGGCGATAGAGTTAGCAATACTGGCAACCCAACAGCGGGATGACTTGCGAAATCTTTCCCAATCATTTCGGCAACAGCTTAAAGAAGCCGGCTATCCAGTAACAGGAAACGCAAACCATCCGATAGTGTCTCTGATGGTTGGTGACCAGGAAAGGGCGATGTATACACATAATGTGCTTTGCTCCTATGGAATCTTCCCGTTGATTTTTTTATATCCCACCACTCCAAAGAACGAGGCCTTGATGAGATTTGTCATCAACCAGTACGTGACGCCAGAGAAGGTAGCATACACCGTTAAAACATTGAAGGATCTCAGACAAGACCTGAAGCCATGGACATGGGCTGGGGAACAGAGGAATAAAAAGCAGAATATAGAAAACAGTTCGAACTAAGAATAAGTGATTTTAATTAAAAGGGTAATTTGACAGTGCTTCTCTGCAGTCAATATAAAATCATTTATGGAGTCCAGTGAAAACTGAGATGCGGGCTCGAGAAAAGTCTTAGCTCTTAATTTCATCGAAAACCTCCAAGCTGCAAGTTTTTTTTAATGAACTGTTGTAAGGCAAATGACATACACTTTCACTAATTGAAGATAATTATTAAAACGAAATCAAATGAGATAAAGGATAGGGAATTATTGAGTGCAAGTTAAATTTCTTCCTGAGTCCACAAGTGTAGAAAATGTTTTCGTGGTAGGAAAAAGAGAGAACATGTTTAAGTCACATATTGTTCGATTGATTGGTTAATTTCTCAAAAGATTTGCAAATTTCTGACACTTGTAAAACACATGCAATCTAAGGATAGGTATGGTCTAAAAATGAGTAATTCAAATAAAATTTTAAATATTTTAAATTCAAAACAAGTCTCTTAGAAATAACCTAATAAGGAAATGTTGAATGGTGGCTTGCAACATGAGAATGGAAGATTCCTTTTAATCATGCAAAGACAACGAAAAATAAGAACTAAATGCGTGATCAATACGGAGAAATATAAATATATAAATATAAATACTTGTGAAATTGTATGAAAAAGGCAGTCGGTGAATAAACGTTCGAAACCTCCAGACAGTCGTCGTCCTTCCCTCACTTATAACAGAACGTTTATATCCACTTACGTATTTTCACTTCCAAATTATACGTTCTATTCATAACTTAAATTTGGCGTATCATGCCTTTGAGGCATACGCACAAAGCATTTTAAAAAATACAAAGAGCAAAAATTTAGATTACGTATGAGACATTCCAAAAAACTATATTTGAATTTGCGTGATAGGAGATTAGGTGATTTTGGAAATTAACATATCTACTCGTATTTCGTTTTTATCTCTCACTTTGTATGGCAATGGCTGATATATTATTGTTTTTTTCTGACATGTGTAAAACGCATGCAATCTAAGGATGGGTATGGTCCATGAATGAGTAATTCAAATAATAATTTAAATATTTTTAATTCAAAACAAGTCTCTTACAATTAATCTTATAAGGATATGTTGAATGGTGGCTTGCAACATGAGGATGGAGGATTCCTTGTAATCACGCATAGGCTATGTAAAAAACAAGTAAATGTGTAATCAGTGCGGAGAATTATAAATATATAAATATAAATACTTGTGAAATTGTATGAAAAAGGGAGTAGGTGAATAAACTTTCGAAAGCTCCAGACAGTCGTCGTCCTTCCCTCACTTATAACAGACGATTACACCCGCATACGTATTTTCACTTCCAAATTATACGTTATATTCATAACTTAAATTTGGCGTATCATGCCTTTGAGGCATACACACAAAGCATTTTAAAAAATACAAAGAGCAAAAATTTGGACAACGTATGAGACATTCCAAAAAACTATATTTGAATTTGCGTGGTAGGAGATTAGGTGATTTTGGAAACAAACATATCTACTCGTATTTCTTTTTTATCTCTCACCTTGGATGGTAATGGCTGATGTATTATTCTTTTTGTGTGTTTGTGTGGGGAGGGGGGTAAGCATTTTCGATCGGCAACTCTCACTAAGTCTCATATCAATTTAATAATTCCCACCGTTTCAAAAGAATAAATCACATGTATTATTTATCATTTCCATACATAACAATCTTCCCTGGCTTTGCAACCTGCAATAAGGGGTGCCGTTTTGTCAGGTTTAATTTAACTTTGATATTCATATATATATTTAAAAACATGTTATCTTAGCACGCTATGTTAGTTTCATAATAAATAGATCCTATCTGTAGAGAGTAAAACATGGTTTTGCCAATAAGCCATCACGGTTTGACACTCCTTCAAAAGTCTTTGATCACATCTGAGGAAGGTTGGAAGCGTCATGCCAAATACGGAGAAAACCCTTAGTCACCTTAGAGAAGATGGGCTGTCTTAACATCTGTTCACAATTACGAAAGAAACTTATGTCGACATACTTAGTTTGCCGTTAGGCTTCCAATTGATTGCGGTAGCGGTGCAATTAAATACAATCCGCACGACAATGCAGCGTCGCATTTGTATTTTCACTTGCCTGTTTCGACACAAGATTTACAAAAAGTGAATTTTTAAAAATCAGTATAAACAAGTTTTGTAACTGATAACAATGATATGTAGTACATAAGTCAAGTTAAAAACATTTAAACTTCAGCAATTGTAAAAATGTCTATTAAATTTCGAAACTCGAGATCAATAATGGAGGTTCGCAACTGGGAGGGATCGTAATGGATTTTGGTTGGAGGATCCTTAATTGGAAAAAAATTTGGAAAACGCATTTGAATTTTGAAATTATGAAAACGGTTAAAGGATTAAAAGGGATAAAAGTCACAATTAATATCCACCCCTTGGCGTATTCCTCAGTGATTAGTCGCCCCTTTTGCCTTTCGTAAAACATGAAATCGAGTCCTCTGATTCTTTGTGAATTTAATTTTGTTTTGCTTGTTGCTTTCTTTTTACTGTAGAAGTGTTATTAGTGATTTTGTTCTCGACTCAAGATGATTAAAAAAAAGAGATGATATAGTACCCTTGGACCTACTTGTCAGTACTTACCCGCTAACATCCAGGTAGGATATAATTATTCTGCAGTTTCTGATTGCTCACCGATCTAACTTCAGAAAACTTGAATACAAGACTGAGGAAAGAGTGGAGTTTTTTAGGGGTAAAGCAAGTGAAACTAAAACCTTGCTCTCCAGGTTCCCTGGCAGTTTTACCTGAAGCATACAGAAATANTGGCGTCATAGAGATCTTACTCAAAGGTAACGATCGCCCCATCTTCATGGACCATTACGCCCACATGACCTTCAAGACGGCGGTGTCCGTTGCTGAGGCCTCGTCGCGATTGAAGCTGTTTCGGCACAATGACATGGACCATCTTCGTTTTCGGATAGAAAAAGCTGGGAGCGGAGTTGTCGTCGTGGATTCGATATACAGTACTAACGGAGATGAAGCACCGATGGCAGAATTGGTAGAGTTGTGCCGCCGTCTGGATTGCATCCTCGTCGTTGATGAGAGCCATGCTGTTGGGGTTGTGGGAGATGCAGGCGAGGGCCTGGTAGCCCATCTAGGGCTAGAAGACGGCGTTCATGTTAGAACGGCGTCCTTGGCTAAGGCTCTATCGTGTCAAAATGGTGTTGCTGCAAGCAGCAAGGAAGTCACGGACTGCTTCAACAACGCGACCACATTAGCCGTATTCAGCCAGAATGTACAAACCCCCAGCGCTGTCAAAGTCAAAAAGGCGATAGAGTTAGCAATACTGGCAACCCAACAGCGGGATGACTTGCGAAATCTTTCCAAATCATTTCGGCAACAGCTTAAAGAAGCCGGCTATCCAGTAACAGGAAACGCAAACCATCCGATAGTGTCTCTGATGGTTGGTGACCAGGAAAGGGCGATGTATACACATAATGTGCTTTGCTCCTATGGAATCTTCCCGTTGATTTTTTTATATCCCACCACTCCAAGGAACGAGGCCTTGATGAGATTTGTCATCAACCAGTACGTGACGCCAGAGAAGGTAGCATACACCGTTAAAACATTGAAGGATCTCAGACAAGACCTGAAGCCATGGACATGGGCTGGGGAACAGAGAAATAAAAAGCAGAATATAGAAAACAGTTCGAACTAAGAATAAGTGATTTTAATTAAAAGGGTAATTTGACAGTGCTTCTCTGCAGTCAATATAAAATCATTTATGGAGTCCAGTGAAAACTGAGATGCCAGCTCGAGAAAAGTCTTAGCTCTTAATTTCATCGAAAACCTCCAAGCTGCAAGTTTTTTTTTTTAATGAACTGTTGTAAGGCAAATGACATACACTTTCACTAATTGAAGATAATTATTAAAACGAAATCAAATGAGATAAAGGATAGGGAATTATTGAGTGCAAGTTAAATTTCTTCCTGAGTCCACAAGTGTAGAAAATGTTTTCGTGGTTGGAAAAAGAGAGAACATGTTTAAGTCACATATTGTTCGATTGATTGGTTAATTTCTCAAAAGATTTGCAAATTTCTGACACTTGTAAAACACATGCAATCTAAGGATAGGTATGGTCTAAAAATGAGTAATTCAAATAAAATTTTAAATATTTTAAATTCAAAACAAGTCTCTTAGAAATAACCTAATAAGGAAATGTTGAATGGTGGCTTGCAACATGAGAATGGAAGATTCCTTTTTATCATGCAAAGACAACGAAAAATAAGAACTAAATGCGAGATCAATACGGAGAAATATAAATATATAAATATAAATACTTGTGAAATTGTATGAAAAAGGCAGTCGTCGTCCTTCCCTCACTTATAACAGAACGTTTATATCCACTTACGTATTTTCACTTCCAAATTATACGTTATATTCATAACTTAAATTTGGCGTATCATGCCTTTGAGGCATACGCACAAAGCATTTTAAAAAATACAAAGAGCAAATATTTGGACAACGTATGAGACATTCCAAAAAACTATATTTGAATTTGCGTGATAGGAGATTAGGTGATTTTGGAAATTAACATATCTACTCGTATTTCGTTTTTATCTCTCACTTTGGATGGCAATGGCTGATATATTATTGTTTTTTCTGACATGTGAAAAACGCATGCAATCTAAGGATGGGTATGGTCCATAAATGAGTAATTCAAATAATAATTTAAATATTTTTAATTCAAAACAAGTCTTACAAATAATCTTATAAGGATATGTTGAATGGTGGCTTGCAACATGAGGATGGAGGATTCCTTGTAATCACGCATAGGATATGGAAAAAACAAGTAAATGTGTAATCAGTGCGGAGAATTATAAATATATAAATATAAATATTTGTGAAATTGTATGAAAAAGGGATTAGGTGAATAAACTTTCGAAAGCTCCAGACAGTCGTCGTCCTTCCCTCACTTATAACAGACGATTACACCCGCATACGTATTTTCACTTCCAAATTATACGTTATATTCATAACTTAAATTTGGCGTATCATGCCTTTGAGGCATACGCACAAAGCATTTTAAAAAATACAAAGAGCAAATATTTGGACAACGTATGAGACATTCCAAAAAACTATATTTGAATTTGCGTGGTAGGAGATTAGGTGATTTTGGAAACAAACATATCTACTCGTATTTCTTTTTTATCTCTCACTTTGGATGGTAATGGCTGATTTATTATTCTTTTTGTGTGTTTGTGTGGGGAGGGGGGTAAGCATTTTCGATCGGCAACTCTCACTTAAGTCTCATATCAATTTGATAATTCCCACCGTTTCAAAAGAATAAATCACATGTATTATTTATCATTTCCATACATAACAATCTTCCCTGGCTTTGCAACCTGCAATAAGGGGTGCCGTTTTGTCAGGTTTAATTTAACTTTGATATTCATATATATTTAAAAACATGTTATCCTAGCACGCCATGTTAGTTTCATAAAAAATAGATCCTATCTGAAGAGAGTAAACATGGTTTTGCTAATGAGTCATAACGGTTTGACACTCCTTCAAAGGTCTTTGATCACATCTGAGGAAGGTTGGAAGCGTCATGCCAAATACGGAGAAAACCCTTAGTCTCCTAAGAGAAGATGGGCTGTCTTAACATCTGTTCACAATTACGAAAGAAACTCATGTCGACATACTTTGTTTGCCGTTAGGCTTCCAATTGATTGCGGTAGCGGTGCAATTAAATACAATCCGCACGACAATGCAGCGTCGCATTTGTATTTTCACTTGCCAGTTTCGACACAAGATTTACAAAAGGTGAATTTTTAAAAATCAATATAAACAAGTTTTGTAACTGATAACAATGATATGTAGTACATAAGCCAAGTTAAAAACATTTAAACTTCAGCAATTGTAAAAATGTCTATTAAATTTCGAAACTCGAGATCAATAATGGAGGTTCGCAACTGAGAGGGATCGTAATGGATTTTGGTTGGAGGATCCTAAATTGGAAAAAAATTTGGAAAACGCATTTGAATTTTGAAATTATGAAAACGGTTAAAGGATTAAAAGGGATAAAAGTCACAATTAATATCCACCCCTTGGCGTATTCCTCACTGATTAGTCGCCCCTTTTGCCTTTCGTAAAACATGAAATCGAGTCCGCTGATTCTTTGTGAATTTAATTTTGTTTTGCTTGTTGCTTTCTTTTTACTGTAGAAGTGTTATTAGTGATTTTGTTCTCGACTCAAGATGATTAAAAAAAAGAGATGATATAGTACCCTTGGACCTACTTGTCAGTACTTACCCGCTAACATCCAGGTAGGATATAATTATTCTGCAGTTTCTGATTGCTCACCGATCTAACTTCAGAAAACTTGAATACAAGACTGAGGAAAGAGTGGAGTTTTTTAGGGGTAAAGCAAGTGAAACTAAAACCTTGCTCTCCAGGCTCCCTGGCAGTTTTACCTGAAACATACAGAAACAGATAATAAGATTCGATTTGCTAACATAGAAATTAAATTACTGGTAGCATTACCGTATGCAGAAGCAACAACGCGGGACATAGGCAATATGATTTCTGAATTTAACTTCGTTGAGCAGCAACAATTGATCCGTTATAAGATTATATTCGAACACGTGTAGCAGCAACATATAGGTCAAAACTTTCCCAGTGTTACGCCGGGTTTGCGCATGTAAACTCATTCGACATAGATTATATCACAGGTGAGTAAACAAATATATTCTGTTTCTTTAATTTAAGTGAGAGCTTTATAGGAAGCACATATAAGATACGTTATTCTTATATATGGGGGACTGGGAATGATTTGCAAGAGTGGTGCCGCGCTGCCATTTACCGTTCGCGTTGGTATGAAAGCTATTAAAGAAGACATTTCGTGTCAGTGGTCTGTTTAAGCGTGAACACATTTTTTTTCTCTCCGTCGAAGGCGTTATCCGAGCCTGAAAACAAAAGTTTGGTTCATTTGGACCACTTCATGTACGTTTAAGCATTCACTTGGCGAGTGAAACGAAATATCTTTAAAAATACTGGAAAAATACTTGAATTAACAAAACGCTGCGTCTTACGGAAACCAGCGTATTTATTCAGCGAGAGGAGTAAACTAGAGGTCAAATTAAACTGGTTTCATTAAGCTGATTCGATTTAAACCACATGCTATTTCGAACAGCTTTTTTAGCCGCTCTAATTTCACCGGTGCGGAGTGTTCTATGTTGTATGGCTGAAAATGTCGCTGATCTGCCGCCTGGTGTATTGTATGCTGTTGTGGTCTGGATTGAGAGCAGGGGTAAGTGGATTGTTTTCTGTTACACGTTCTTTTTTTCAACAACTTTAATATTTTCACAGTAGTCTCGTATATGGAAGCATGTCTTTACTTCCGCTCATATACAGTCTATCTGTTTTCTCGTTAAAAATTCTTAATGTATCACGTAAGCAATTTCGCCCCCATCGGATCGTCCATAATTCATTCCAAAGACTTCACAAAAAGAGAAAAAGTCTTTATACTCATACGTAATCGTTAGAATAACACACGAAAAAAGTTAATAATTACGATGAACAAGTGCTTACGGCATCTTTATGAAGAGTTGAATCGTAAACAATGACTGGGGTCCCGCTTAAGGCCCAATAAAACATTTCCTGACAAAAAATTCAGTTTGGTTTATTAGCACTTTTTCGAAGCTATTTTGTGGCTTAAAGTTAACTAAAATGCTTGCATATATAATATGATTCAAATATCTTCTTCGCTAGTGATAGTTGTTACAGTACCATATTTAAACACGTCATTATTTTTCAAATTTGAATACAGACAATTCTACATGTAATTTGTCACCTATAATTGGATAGCCCGAGTCACCTATTTTAAAAAGATAAACTATGTCCATTTATACAAAGTGTATTAATCGTAACCTGAGGCGTTGGCTACTGTGTGGTGACCTGATAATTTTTACATAAATTTAGATACTCTGTAGTCCTATTTGTCTATCCGTCAATCCATCCATCCATCTATTTATCTCTCTAATTTCCTGTCTCTGTCTATAATTCTATCTTGTGCTTTTTGGTAGTCGATTTAAACTTGTTGAAAAAAAAGCAAAGGGGAATTTATTTTCATTGTGTTTCTTTAAAGGTTAAATATACGGGGTTCCTGTCTCGTTTGCCTTCTTCATATCAATCAAAATGTCCTACACCATTATCTTTAAACCACAACCATTTAACATGAAACAGTAAAACAACGTAACCAGGACATTGCCAGTCGTGTAAATATGTAAACGTTTTTTTTTTGTTCAATTTCTATTTGCCTCACTCATGCAGCAGGACTTATGCGCATGCCAGGCGAGAAAGTCGGTGGAGACTAATGCTGGTCTTGTAAAAAAATTAAATGAAATGAAGTGAAAATTACTAAAAGAATGAAAAATAAAAGCATGAATACTAACTATCTTTTAGGTGGTGAGTTATGAACTGTTAGTACTAAAAATCTGTACACCGTCTTTTTAACATTACATGACTGCGTTCCTTCCTGGAGGGACAAAATAACCCTGTAAAACGCAAGCCAAAATGCCTATATGAAGTTCTTCTCTTCTAGATTCCATTTCGCCCCCTGCGACTTCATCTTACCAACCTAAGGTCGCACGCGTTGGGGTCGCTTACCCTGGAATACGAGGCTGAAAGCGACATAGCAATTCATTGGTTTTGTACAGAACCAAACCAATTAGGACCCGAGCCCCCGTTAGTGTCAGGTGAGCACAATCTACCTACTGCGGCACATAAGACATTCACA